ACTGTCTTTGTTGCCCTGTATTGGCAGAGTGCTTTGTGCAATGAAGTTCTGATTCTGTTGTTGTCTGTGCTTCACCAGAATACAAAAAAATAAATACTAGGTTTAAAAAGGAGCAATGACTGTGTGGGGAAAGAGAGATCTAGGTACTGTATGAATCTCAGTATCCCAAGACTAATATAGGCCACTTGGGGATTAATGGCATATGTTAATACCATATTTGTCTGCAGATAGTTAATAAGAAATCAAATAGATATATAATGATTATATGATAGCGTTCACTCTGTTGGATCTCTTCTTATGTCTTCAGAAGCTGCTGATTTGCCTTTTTATTTAAGACTTTACTTTTTTTTAGTGCATTCACTCCAAGATTCACAAAGGCAAATACGGAACGGCGAGGATGCCAAATTGGTTATATCTAGCAGAGCAGGAGGGGGGGCACTTGCTCATGCAATCCTGTATTGCTTTTGTGTTGATCAGGTTTGAGACTGTTAATCCTGACAAAACAGGTGAACAGGGCACAATATACCCATGATGATCATCTTAATGATCACTGTGATGCTGGAAGATTAGTTCCTCCTCCGAAGGTCTAATTATCTCTTGTCTAATGAGGACATATCAGATTGCGATTATTTCTTTGACCAAATGAGTAAACCTCTGTGTGTGTGTGTATATATATTTTGCCTCGCAAGCTGTACATGTCCTTTAGGAACAAATATCCTACTATAGGAAACCAGCTCAGGCAAGTTTCTCCTTTCAGTGGAGACAGTTTTGTTTTCCTCCATGTAGCAGCAGTGAATAAACACATGCAACTTTATGACAGTTCCAATGCACATCTCTTCAGGAAGTTGAAGGCTGCTTCTGTGGGTGTATTTCCTGCTTTTTTTGTCTGCTTTTAATAAAATTTGCCTTTCCTCTCTGCACAATATTAGGACAAACTGCTTGTAGCATTCAGTGCATCCCTTGTTTTACAGCTGGTCCAAAGGAAACATCTTTGGTATAGGTGACCCTTAACTTCTAATCTGTGTGCCATACAGGTCAATTAATGAGGTGTGAAGTCTGTTTACAGAGCAAACCTCTGCTTGCTCTGTCATTAAAGCTACCTCTTTGTTCTGTAGGATGCCAAGGTACATCATACATGGAGGGTGTTAGTATAGGGTGCTTACTTTTTTTAAGAAACCTGTAGGACATCCTTCCCTCGATACAATGTCATTATAAATGTATTGTTGCATGGCATCAGGCTCGTCTTGGTAGGTTTTAACATCTTGACATGGTTGGATGTTATTTGGGCCTTTCTCTGCAGTAACGGCTGGATCTGTTTTCTGTCCCTCAAATGTCGTTTGGTTATTGCATTACTAGCACAAGCTTCCAGCCCAAATCTGTACTTTAATGCAGCTATGCATACGAAAATAGAAATAAGGCTGGAAGGCATCACGTGATTGGGCTTGGCCTGGGGTAGCAGCAACGCTAGTTCAGAACATGTGTAAGCGCTTCCGAAGTGAACAGTGCAATAACAAAGGAGGTTTTTCAGGTCATTTCTCTGCCTGAAACTTTTCCACTGAGACCCACTGAGATCTGTTGTCCTTATGTTAGAAGAGCAGAGCTGTCCCTCTTCACACCAAGATTTTCCTTAGCTGGATATCCTCTCTGTGATAGCAGTTAGAGATCTTGAAGAACATGGAATATGAACAAGAGCATCTTGGCCTGGCTGGCAGTTTAGAGGATACAGGTGATCTGAGACTTTTTCCAGCTCTGATAAAATGCTTGGAGTGGCATTACTGGAACTGATACCTCAATATTCTGATGGGGATTTTTGAGTTGATAGCTAAACCAAAAATATAAGCAAGGTAAATATCTCTATTGCATAAATATAGTTTCTCTATCTTGCTGTAACCTTATCTTCTTTATGCTCTTGCTGGAAAAAGTGGCATATGGTGAATTTCTGCTTAAAAGCTTCAAAATTGAAGGCTGTCTTGCCACTTCTGCACAGCCTAAACAAGACAGCAATAAAGGCAATTTTCAGTTCTCCTGGTGCAAAGTGGATGAGGAAAAACAGGAGGCTGGTGCTCTTCACCTAGCAGGGTAGCCTACTTCAGGCCCTGCCCTTGCTAGGGAGGGATGTGATGATTTTTGTTGCGCTAGAGTCTGCCTTGTTGTGCAGGTGGATTCCCTGCTGCTCTCGGCGTTCCAGTGCTGGGGCCTTACAGCACATTATGTACGAGGACACGTTCTGCGTCTGCTGCTCCAGTTCCCCAGTCATCTGGGGGGGTGTTTATCTAACCCTTTGCTCTCATCTCTGACTCATCTGGAGTGGAATTGTGTTGATTCCCTGTTTCTGATTTAACTTCATCACTTTGTGCTCCTTTTCCTGGGCAACCTGCTATGTATTCATGTACCTCTTTTCATTCCTGGCAGCTTAGTGGACTTAAAACGTGGGCTGTGCGTGTTGCCCATGCCACGAGGGCTCTGTCATTGCAGCTTATTTGCAATTTCTTTTGCCCACTCGATGAGGGCAGACCAGGATCCTTTACTCTGCATCCCTGGCACCTGGACGGCTTGTTGCAGAGTTTATTAATCTTTACTTTTTAGTGTCTATCATTTGAAGGGCTTAACCTGAGCAGGAGGAAGAAGACAGAGTCTATCCAACAGGCTATAGAGAAGAAAGATGAATGAAAGAACAGGAAATAATATGGATGCACTGGGGAGATAGTGGATCAGTTTTATAAAGCTCTTGTTGATTTTACTCCTATAACTTTGATAATCACATGTAGAAAAAATGTGCAGGTTGCACTGCATGCACCTCTCAGTAGCTTGTGAAGAAGAATGCTCATTAATTTCTTGTTAATGGGGATCAAATTGCACATATTTTCCCTTGGAATTAAAATGTCACTAAAACTGCTGCTTTAGGTGACTAGCTATGGATTTGGATAACAAACCTCCCTGTGCAGAAGAATAGTGATAGTTTGGATTTGGATAACAAACCTTCAGCCTCCCTGTGCAGAAGAATAGTGATAGTTTAGTTTTATTTCTGAGGTTCTGCCAGCGTAATTCCCAGCGCGCTTCCGCCCACTGGCGTATTTCAACATGAGTGTAGCTGTAGCAGTGTGATTCTGCTGGTAAACGTCTCTGTATAGGCAAGCCCTGGAGTCCCAAGACGAGGAAGTGTGTAATTGTACATCATAAGGAACTGAGGAAATACTTCTTTAGTAATATCATTATGTCAAGTTTGTTGAAGTTAGACAACCATCATGTGATTATATAATGAACCCCCTCAAAAGGCAAAATACTAAATTAATTATGAGTTAAAATACTCACTTTACATGGGGAATTGGATAGGTTTTCTATAATGCCAGAATCTGGGCACTACATGGGCTTTTCCATTCACTTTTCCCTGAATTTTTCTTTTGTAGCTGTGACAAGCACAGCAAAGAAGCCAAAAATTTGGCCAAAGCAGGAAAGCTGCAGGAAAAGCTAGAGATGGATCAACATGAGAAGAAACTTGATTCTTGGAGAGATCTTCATGTAAATGCAAGTGGCTGCTTTTCCTACAGTGAAGTAGGATGCGATACTGCAAGTTGGAGTTGGGTGGCTTGAGTGTTGTCTCTGTGCTAAAAAAGGAGCCTGCAGTAACAGGATACCTCTTGCTCAGGTATAATTCATTCAAAGTAACTCTGTGCAACTCTGCACTTGTGATTCCTTGTGCTAAAACCTGCTGCTGGAGTAGGACAATATTCCAGATATTGACCAAAGGCATCTATAGGAATAGAGGTGAGCCAGCAGAAAGCTGCTGGAATGATGCAATGCCTCAAAGATTCCTGGGTTAGTCCTGCAGGAATGGGGAAAAAAAACTAGCCATACTATTTGAAAAACAAATGAAAGACAAACCACAGTTAACTCTCTGTACTTTGAAAAGCCTGAAATTAGGAGAAGGGGTCTCATTTCAGCTGGTGTAGGTTTGCAGTAGAGGTTACAGTACTCCAGACTTAGAGTAACTGCCAGTAGATGTTTTTGAGGTGTGGAGAGATATTGTAGGGTACCCCCTTGCCCTCCAAGTGTACTTGAGGAGCAGTTTTTCTGACAGCCCATAGATGGGAAATCACTTTTATAGCAGAGGAAAGGAAGGTACAGAGAAATATATCGCCCCCAAAGCCAAGGGACCTGGATATCCCTTTCCCTAGAGCTGAAAACAACAACATTATTCCCTGCTGCTGCTACCAAGAGAGAAATGTCTCAGAATCCAAGCAATGTAGATAGGACTTTATTTAAAAGAAGAAAATCAAATCCATGCTGTAGGCACCAGATTTTTCAAGCGACGCTTCCCCCGCTAGGCAGGGAAGCAAATGATCTTTTTTTTTTAGAAATTCCCCATAGCTCTTGAGGAGCCACACGAACAGCTGAGCACTTGAAAACCAGGCCACAGACTAGCAAGGTCATCAGCAGATGCACCTAGCGTGCCTAGCTTTGCTAAAAGAAGCATTTGGAATGGGAAAATAAAGCAAAGGGGAGTTTGTGGGCTGTGGCTGCTAACTCAGCATTAGGAAAAGGGATAGAGAGAGGCTTCCTTCCTTGGAATTTACCTGGCGCACAGAAAACTTCAGGGTTGTGAAATTTAGGAGGGAGCTGCTGCTGCTTTTGCCTTGGCAGTCGTCGTGTTTTGAGCAGGGAGCCAGAAGGAGGCCTGGGTGGAGGCAAATCTTGGGCTGCTCTTTCTTCTGCTGCAGATGGATTTGTGCTGTTTGCACGCAGGATGGTGCAGGATCCTCTCCACCCCCAACAGGCAGGGGGAGTTACGTGGTGTAATTCTGTTGGTGCTTGGGTAGTTGTGTCCTGTCAAAAGGAGCCACGTCAATTTTTCAGTCTCTGTTTTTTTCAATTTCTCATTTCTTTCTGGTGAAATCTAGATCAATTTCTTCATAATAGCTGGAATTTCTCCAAGTAGCTGGATTAAAAGGTCTGGAACTGCAGCTGAGGAACCGTGCCTGTTAGAGATGATACTAGAGAGGATGTGCTCAGGGTATGGGCTTCTTGGAAACTACAGCTCCTCTTCCTCCTTAAGTGCCTTAAACTCACACCCATGGCTGAGATGCCCTGCTGGAATCTGGACACTTAGAAATGCAGATGCTCATAAAGGCAGAAAAGCCATGGGAAGGGGATGAAACCACCTCTCACTCATCTGAAACTTATCTCATTGCAGGGACTTTCTGCCACGGGGATCTGGCATCGTGACCAGGCGCCCGCTGGTCCTGCAGCTGGTGAACTCCAGCACAGGTAGGTGAGCGGCCTCCCCAGCTGCGTTGCTGTCCTAGCCCAGAAACGTGTCACTTGATCAGTGGTACTGCTCGATGTGGAAGAGTAAATGAGTTTCTCTCACTAAAAATGACCTGCAGCTGTTTTTCCTGATGCAAAATGCTTTTCAGCTGATTTGTTTGAATTTATTACAGGGTTTCATGTGTACACTTGTCATGATTTCCCTTTATCTCTACAGCTGTGACTTTTATGAGTGGGTAAGACTGAAAAGGCTAGGAGGACCCTGCTGATTAGCTTGTGAAATATGAGGTGTCATCCTGAGATGATTTTAGAGCACTGAAAAAACAGTGTAAGAGCACTGGGATTTGGGATGGAAAGACTCTACTACAGCTCTGTGGCTGATCTTTTGAGCTGTTCACTGAATTTTTGCTACTTGCTTTCAGGGGTTTTCTCATTATTCCTCCCTTTCAAAGAGAAATTGCAGGTCTCATCCAAGAAGCTGGTGCCTGAAGGGTTCAGGGTGCTCTGCTTCTCTTGCAAGGTGAAACTGGCCTTTTCACAGCAGGCTTCTTGTCTCAAATAGGGAGGCAATTTGAAATAGTTTTTTGGGGGACTTGAAAGAGGGGGTTCTTGGATTGTTTAGCCTACTCAAGCACTAAAAGCAGCTGCCTTGTCAGAAGATTTCTTTGCTTGCTCAGGCACACTCATACTCGCACACTATCTCTGTGGGTCTTTTCTCATTGCATGAGAGTACTAGAGAATCCTCAGCTAGTCCAAGCTCCATGGTACCAAGGTAACTCCTGCTGCAGCTGTGTCTTCCCTGCAGGCAGGTGAATGCTAAGCTTGCTTAGCTCTAATAGAGGAAGATCTAGGTTCTTAATTGAATGAGGATAAGTGAGGATGCCACCTCTGCTTGGGTAAGATCACAACTGGGAAGCTCTTGAGCTCACATAGGTAGCATGATTGCAGTTACTTCTTTGCACGTCTGCCAGGTTCTGTTGGGTGAGGCTTTTGCCAGACCTTATATCTTCAACCTTCTTATTGTTTTGGTTTTACTCCAGTATATTACACTTTTAATTTAAAAAATTGAATGCGACTCTGTTGTCTCCAATGGCTATTTCTGGCACTTTGCTTCTATTTAATTAGAATATGGTGAGTTCCTACACTGCAAAGGAAAGAAATTCACTGATTTTGAAGAGGTCCGTTTGGAGATCGAGGCTGAAACGGACCGTGTTACTGGCTCCAACAAAGGGATTTCTCCTGTGCCCATCAATCTCCGCGTCTACTCTCCCCACGGTGAGTACGGTGCCCTCGCGCAACGTCTGAAGACAGGAGGTAGGTGAGGCAGGTTGTTGCTTCATCCTGAAGCAAAGATGGAAATAAAAAAATAAATGGGGAGTGTTCGGATCTCTTTTCCCCCTGATCTCTGTGTCTGGGCCATGCTGTTCCAAACTTCCAACCTTTGCCAAGCTTCTGAAAGGATTTTATCTGCTATATTCTAGTCTTTTACTTTCTCCAGTTGAAGTATCTGACGGCCAGCAAAAGACTTCTGCCTGAAACAGCTTCCTTCAGAAATAATTTGCTCCCTAAAGGACCGTTCTGTTCAGTCAGCATGCCCTTCGCTGTAAAGAGCTGCTGTCTCCCCCCACTTTTTGATATCTCTTTGCTGGATATAGGAAATGCATCAAAAATATTGACGGAAAAGGGAGAGGGGCGGCTTTCTTCAAGAGCATTTGTTTTGTTCTTTTTTTTGGTGTGGAAGTAAGCAATATTGTTTGCTTAGTTCTCTCCAACTAGTGCCCAGATGGTATGCCATTCCCTCCAGTGGAAGAATTCTGCTCTAACAACAATCCCAAATTTTACAGCTTTTTAAAGGAGAACAACTGTTTGGGTGTTGTTTGTAAAGCAGCAGCTTGATGCTGCGCTGTCAGTTGGCCGGGTAGGATTTGTGCATCTTGTTTTCTGAACAAGACAATTAAACAATTACAGGGCTGCATGTTATGGTCCTTCAGGAGAAGGCCTAAATGAGCTTCTTAAGGCAGCAGTCTTTAATGAGTGGAACCAGCTCTCTTCTCCTGGCCTCTGCTGTGAGGTGGCAAGTGTTAAGACATCTTTTCCTTCAGTGTAGCATATGTGGAAGGACTTTGAGGACACAGGGTTTCCCTGATCAATCTGAAAACAAGTGATTTAAAAGGAATTACAAGAGATGAGAAAATTGTAGTAGCCCTGGGAAATTGTGCAGTGGGACTCAGGCTGCAGATGTGGTGCTGCTCACCAGCTGGGACAGTCTTTATATTCATTTAGTGGAAACAGTGGCAAAAAAAAAGTGAGCCCCTTGTGTATCTGCTGCCTTTATCGTTACCTCACAACCTTGTGAGATGTTATTAACCTCATTTTAGAGATAAGAGAATAGACATGTGGAGAACTGACCTTTCAGAGCCCCACAGCAAGTCAGCAGATCTGAAGAATCCTTGCTCTAGACTCCCTCTCAATCCCCTGGAATTCTGATATCCATGTTCTGCCTCCTGAGCTTCACTTCTAGTTTCCAGACTGAACTAGCTGTTACTAAACAGTAGCACAAGGGAGCTGGAAAACTCTGTTTGAGTTGTATGTGTGCCCTGTCATGCCTATGGTGTGTTGGAGACATTATAGCTATAGGTGTTCTTTTTGGACCTGAGCCATCATACCTCAACATTGACTTGTGTTTTCTTTTGTTTCCTGTGCCTAGTCCTGAACCTGACCTTGGTGGACCTACCAGGTATGACAAAAGTCCCAGTGGGGGACCAACCCCCTGACATTGAGTTCCAGATCCGAGATATGCTCATGCAGTTTGTCACCAAAGAGAACTGCCTCATCCTGGCAGTATCTCCAGCTAACTCTGATTTGGCCAACTCGGATGCTCTGAAGATTGCAAAGGAGGTGGATCCTCAAGGTAAATCTGTCTCTTACTTTAGTAGAACATTGCTAATTACTAAATAATAATGTTTTAGCATGACATTGCCTCACTGCTAAAGAACTTTCAGGAGTTATTTGTTGCTTGATCAAGTATACTTGTGGGTTTTTAATAGGGCAACGCACTATTGGAGTCATCACTAAACTGGATCTTATGGATGAAGGAACTGATGCACGAGATGTATTAGAAAATAAATTGCTTCCTCTTCGTAGAGGTACGGTTTCTCTTGCTTGGCTCATGATATCCTGTCTCCATCTTCCTGGTAAAGAACCCTGGCTTCATCCCCTTCCTTTGTTCCTAGAGCTTCCACTATAAGTTGTGGTTAAGTCATCCCTGTTGCAACCAAAGTCAAAAAAGCTGGGGGAAAGGATAAGTCGCACTGGTAATGGGAACACTTCAGGTATTTGAATCTTGGTATGGAGTTCTAGTAGAAGCCTAGCTGGATTCTTCAATAATCTTTACATTCTTTTTCCTCGCTTTGGGAGAACAAAATAATTCTCAGTTACATAGTCATTTTCTTATGCTGTCTACTAAGTATCAAACCTGGATTTTTCATAGTAAATTCTAGCTTTAAACTCTTCTAATTGCTTTCTAATAATTAGTTGCCATTGGAGTCTCCCTTTTACTATGTTGCCAGCTATCTAACTTTCTCCCCAAGCACAGTCTCCCCTTTATGTTCTCATCCTTGCAGCCATCTGATCTCTAACCACCCTGCTCTTCCAGGTTACATTGGTGTAGTCAACAGAAGTCAGAAGGACATTGATGGCAAGAAGGACATTCAGGCTGCTCTGGCTGCGGAGAGAAAATTTTTTCTCTCCCACCCAGCCTACAGACACATGGCTGATCGCATGGGAACCCCCTACCTGCAGAAAGTATTGAACCAGGTATTATTAGCCGTTGAAACTGCCAGTTATTGTGTCACAAAACTCATTAGACTGAACATCAGGCCTTCTCTGAGATGGAAAAATTATTGAAAATCCTACAATTTTTTTTTTTTTGGTCAGCAAGCTGACAAATAGTTAGCTGTCTGGAAGAAGGCTCTCTCAATCCCTGTTTTGCCAGTGAGCCTCGTGAGAATTGATTTACTTTTTCCTTCTCTGCATCATAAAAAAAGAATTCCAGGTCTCATGAAGTGTGCCTGATTTGGGATAACGCTGATATAGTGAAATACATTAAGGTCAATAATTGAGCTTACATGCTAAAAGCAAAGCACTGTTTTGTTCTCTAAGAGGTACTGGGGCAAAATTAATAGTCATTTCATGGACTTCTGAATTTGCACTAATAGAATGCAAGATTTTTCTGGTTTGTGAAAAACAAATCCCTTCTAAGCCTCTAGTGGGTTCTGTGACTAATGGTAAGCTACAAAGATTGATTTTTTCTTTTTTTTATATATGAAAAAAATTACATTGGCAGTAGTCATTTTTTTTCTTCACTTAAAGCTGTTTTAGCTTCTATTTCATGCAATAGCAACTTATTGTTGCTTCTCCCTCTGTTCCCTTGAAATAATCCCTTAAGTGGAGGAGCAGCACTCGTTTTTCTTGTTGTTTCTGCCCTCTTGGTGAAGTTTGGAGTCTTCCATAGCTGTGCTCTTTTTAGAGCCTTATCAGTAGCTATGTCTCCTTCCACCTTTGATTGTCACTTTTACTGGTGACAAAGGGCTTAACCACTACCCTCCACTATGCTGCCCTGGAGCTGCAGAGATGGCTGTGGATGATGTGCTGACCTGTGGACACAATAGCTTTACCCTGGTGTAAGTGGCAGAGGCTGATGCTGGTAAATAGAGCTTAATCCTGGGTTTGAGAGGACCACAATGGGATGCTTGGACTATGCTTTAAGGGGACAGATTTAAGGGTAAAAGGAAGGTCAGGAATAGAGAGTTAAAATAGGCAGAAGTTGGGGAGACAGGATTCACCCTGTTTATGGCTAATAATACTTGTCCTCGGGTAGACTTGTTATTAGGAACACTCCAAGGAATTGAATGCAGAGCAATTGAACTTTTATCTTTCTGCTGAGGTAGAAAACTCTTCCCAGTAACCATATACAACTGAATTATCCTGCTAAACCTTCTTCCTGTGCAGCAATTGACCAACCACATCCGTGACACGCTGCCAGGACTGCGAAACAAGCTCCAGAGCCAGCTTCTCTCCATTGAGAAGGAGGTGGAGGAGTACAAGAACTTCCGCCCCGATGACCCTGCCCGCAAGACCAAAGCTCTGCTTCAGTAAGTGGCCTCAACTGTAACTCCCTACCTGGAGAAACTGCTTAGCCATGTGTTCTGCTTCATCCTTTGCTTGCTTTAAGGATGGTCCAGCAGTTTGCTGTGGACTTTGAGAAACGTATTGAAGGCTCTGGAGACCAAATTGACACCTATGAGCTGTCGGGAGGAGCTAGGATTAACCGCATCTTCCATGAGCGTTTTCCCTTTGAATTGGTGAAGGTAAAGCTGGCTGAGATCCAGTTTTTCTCTTGGCCTATTGTCTGTAACCTTTCTTCTGTTTGACTTTTCTTTCTCCTCTTCCCTTCAACTGACCACTACTAATTTTGTTCTCTAGTATCACCTCGTTTTCCTGTTGTCTTTGTTCCTTTGTTGGAACATTTTTACAGTGCTGACCTTTCCCTTAGCCCTTGTCCTTGTGGCAGAATTTGAACTTTCTTCTCCTAATTAGATCAGAATCTGTCTGACTTAAATTCCCTAAATGTTAAATTAAATGTGCAAAGTACCTTCCTTTGCACAGGGAATAGCAAAACGTCTGCACGTCCTTGCAGATGCAGAGCATCAGGGCTGTTTTCCAAACTGAACTGCATGTAGTGCAGGTGGTGCTGAACCTGTACTCCTTGATCATTAGCTCCAGGCTGAGCCTGAAATTGTCCTCATGCATATAAATGAAGGAGAAAGGAGGATGTGGGATATACATGGGGGTACATCTCTTTTTTTCTGTCGGTGACCTTGAGATGGGGATGATATAGAAACTTCTCAACTGTCATAATAGCTGAAGAGGCTCTTTGTGGAATTATAGTTTTCTTGGGCAACAAAGGATACTACACTGATAAGAAGAAGTGATAGGGGAACTTGCTTTAGTGTTAGTTAGAACAGAATTGAGACGCACACATTCCACTCTGTTTTGGATCTTCTGCATTTATGTTTGGTGGTGGTGGTTGTTTCCTTTTCACATTTAAATAAGATGAGACCTTGTTAGTGAAGGACCAGAGCCTGCCTTACATTGGACAATACATTTCCAAGGTCTCCATTGAAGAAGCAGGGCATTAAGGAAGCTGAAAAGACCTTATGCTAAATCACACTTAAAAACAAAAAAAAAAAAACCACTTTAGAAAGCAATCTAGCAGGCATTCCATCCCATTCCTTTGTCTCTAATGAGACATTGTGTTGTCCATGGGAGCTGCTGGGGCTTGACACCTGTAAATACAGGCCCTTCCCTGTTCACATTTGTCCAGGATGTCCACATGGCAAAAGAAGCATTATAGCTGATTCACTATCCAACTTTTGATCCAGATCTCATCTATCTCATGACAGTGGTTCTCATGGCTCCCTTTTCTGCAACTCATGCTGTTGTGTATCCTGTATGTATGTGTAAATAGGAAGGACAGACTGATACTGAATAAAACTCTGTCTTGGTGCAGATGGAGTTTGACGAGAAGGAGCTGCGACGGGAGATTAGCTACGCCATCAAGAACATCCATGGTATAAGGCACGTATCACACGCTAGGCAGACCAGTGGCTGCGTAGCCTTGTAAAAACCTCTAGACCTTCCGCATGGAGCTGGAGACCACGGAGGTACGGTAGGTCAGCCAGGGAGGATTGCCCTCCAGGGTCCTACAGCAGCTCGAGCAGCCTTGAATTTGGAAGCAGAGACATTTGTCCGAGTCAGTTTTTACTTTCTGTTTCCTTGCAAGAGTTGCAGAAGCCCAAAAGGTAAAGCTGCCTTGGTGATCTATTTTCCTGCTTCTGTTATTTTGGTGTAAGAAGGAGAGAGGGAGGGATGCAACCCCTACTGCTACATTATTTAGTTTAAATTTTGTTTGCCCGCTTCCTCACACACGTAGGCATGTGTTAACCACCATTAAAACAAGGATAGTCGCCTGGTGTTGAGCACCTCAGCTGCTACGGATCTGAGGGATCACTGGAGTGCCTGGCTCCAGGGTCCCAATGGTGCGGGTGGGAGCAAGTCCTGGTGGCCGCTTGGCGAACGTGCCCCTCGCTGCCCTCAGTCCTGGCGCCAGAGGCAAAATGGTGGCTGAGGTGAAATGGCGGCCTATCCGTCAGGGAGGGGTGATTCTGCCCACAGTGTCCCCATCCCAGGAGGTGCTGAGCAGCCTCCCTTTTCCAAGGGCTTCAGTCAGGGCTTGGGTGAGGGCCGTGACGCCTGGCCCTGCGAGCTGGATTTCAGTGATGGTGGTGCCCACTCTGAGATGCCTATATAATGCTGTGACGTTCTCCTTGCCCCTCTCCCCTTCCTGCCTTGTCTTGCCCTTCCACCCTGGGTCTTTAGAACCGGTCTCTTCACACCCGACATGGCCTTTGAGACCATTGTGAAAAAGCAGGTGAAGAAGATTAAAGAGCCTTGCCTGAAATGCGTGGACATGGTCATTTCGGAGTTAATCAATACCGTTAGACAGTGCACCAAGAAGGTAACCAGAGGCAGCATGGAGCTGACCCGTGCTCGCTGGCTGCGGCACAGCGCTGCGGCCTGGCCAGGGCCTTGCCTGCAGTGAAACTCGGTGTTTCTGACCACCTCCTCAGCATGCCTAGACCTGAGCGCTACCAGCCCAGGGCGATCCAGCCGACAAGCCAAACAGAAAGGGAATTGCTGCGGGACATGGGCTGTGGCCTGGCTCTTCTGCAGCCTTAGAGCCAAGGGAATGCTGGAAACATCCTCTTGCCCCCTTCTACTCTTGTATGACTTCTGCTTCCTTCCAAAGCAAGGGTTATTTTTTGTTATTGGAGCATAAAGTTTAGCTTCTGGCTTTGTTTTCCAAGCTAGAAGCTGCAATTTAAATTTTGCCCCCTCTGTGTTTGTAGGAGGGGAGCGGGGGTTAATCCTGAGCAAGCCTTCTATGTTCGTGCCGGAAGAAAAGATGGAGGGAGCAGCGGTTACAGCCGCGGGCTGTTTCCTAGGGAGATGTTCCTGTGGTGTTTGGCTTGGTTTCTGGTTGGCTCGGTCCATATCCTGTTCTGGAAGAGCAGCGCATGGCTGAGAAGAAGCAAGTTCGAAACGTCCATCCACCTCTGGGCTCCCACTGTCCATCAGAGGGAGGACTCTGGCTTGTGCCCTCTGGGACCCACACTGGGCTTCAGCAGAGCTGTGGGGGGAACTTGCCATAACTCTGCTATCAGGACCTGGCAGCCTGGTTCTGCACCTGGGCTTGGGCTGGGGTTGAAAAGCAGCAGGAGACACATGGGAAGACGCCTGCCATTCCTCTCGGCCATGCCTTGCTGCTTCAGACAGGGACACGTGCTGGTGGAAAAGCACCCGAGTTAGGAGGTAGCATGGGCAGCGCAGACTGGAATCACCACTGGCTTTTCAGGTGCAGGTAAATGACTGTTGCAGGAGGTGCCTGGGGAGTCTGACCTCTTGCCTTTGCAAAGGGGAAGAGGTGCCCAAGTGGTGGCTCAGGTGTTTCTGCAAGTGACAGCAGCTCTTAAAGCCCCGCGCCTCTGCAGGAGGGTTCTGGTGTGCATACACATGCTTTGCCACCCAGTTCAACTGGGAAAGCAAAGTGGCCGCAGTGGGAGATTGCTCAGGCTTCTAGAGTGCTGGAGGAGCTTCCTTTTTCTATCCTGCTGTCCTCTCTTGGGGTGTGTGACTGTGGGAAGCACCCAGAAAATTGCCATTAGAGCCTGGCGACAGGTAAGCACTGGCCCTCGGGCTGCCAAGTATCCAGAGTCGCCTGCTAACAGGATTGAGGGCCTCCCTTTCCATGTCCTCTGCAGCTTCCCTTGGTTTGTTCACCATCCCTCAGTTGCTATTCAAAAATTTCCAATTCATTCTGTCTTCCTCTGCTTCCTTTCCTCCATTTTCAGCTTCATCTTTTCTCCGTTTCTTTTTTCCCCGGTTAAAAACAAATTCACTAGTGAAGAGACTCTTTGCTCTGACAGCAGCAAGTTCCACAGGTCACTGGGTGACAAGTGCAGACGAGTGGGATATGAGGGATGAGAAAGGCCAGGGATAGGGCAGAAAAGGTCACAGATGCAGGATTAAGACACTCCCGTGGTTGTTTGGATCCCATTGCAGGGATTACAGTCATTGATTCCAGTGCTGGTGGTTTGGTGTGTGCCAGGAGTCACAGTCACTGTTTGCTTTTGAAGAAACAAAATAATTTGGTCGCTTGGGTGGTATTCAGGTGCTTGAAGAGACTTTTTCTGTGCAAGGCTCCTTCCAAGTGTGCCCCACTCCCAGGGGCAGGGAGTAAGGGAAATAATAACCGAGTCTGTATCGACTTCAGCTGGCTGGCTGGGTGAGTAGGAAATAGTTTTAAGTCAGAGGGTGTGAACGTAACTCTGCAAATGCCCTTGCCTTGCTGAAAAGGGGCTTTGTTGGCAACTTGAGAGAGGCTTTTGGGGAAGCTGAATCCAATCACATATCCTGACACTTGCTTTAATGACAGATTAGTTGCCAGTCCCATAGTATGTGTTGGAGAGCATTTTAATGGAGCAGTGGGGCATGGTGTCTTGAGGGTGCTATCTGGAGCTGTGTAAGATGGTAAGGTGAATATGAGCATGAGAATATGAGTATGGTGAAGGGATTTAAATTACTATTTTGGTGATTATTTGTAGCTATAGGTATCACAGATTTAACTATTAACCCTACCTTGCAGGATGTTCTTATGTTAAATGGACAGCACCCCCTAGAAAGTACTAATGCATCAAACTAAAAGGAGTGTCTGAGACTCTTTACAAAGAGCAGCCTGGTAGAAGCTTTAGAGAGTTGAGGGATTTGGTGGAAAAACTTTCTTGTGTGCAGTAATAGTCTTGAATTTGATTAATCTGTCCATATTCCAATAGCTTCAATTCCTGTGGGCTTTCTCCTTTTTATTAGTGGAATCACAGAAAATACAGGCCATTTATACTAATTTCCACTGATACTGCATTTCCTTAAAAACCTTGATGGGCCTGTATCAGTCTGGTGCTCTAGGTTAGTTACGGCAAAATTGATGTTTTGTACAATGTATGGATGCCTTGCTTGCATTTTCCTAAATCCTGTGTACATCTGATTAATCTTCTTGAGGAAGTTCCTATTGCAGGGAAGGTAAGTGAGACAAAAGATGCTCCATAAATAGTGGTTTGTCTGAACCCCTGCAACCAAGCAAGACATCCATTCAGATCAGCTTTCCTGCTGCCAAAACCAGCCGTAAGTGACAGACCTTTGCAAGCCTGAACTTGGCTCCTGTTCAGGCCTCCTGCAGCTGGAATAAGAAAAGCGGAAGGGGATAACCCTGGTGGGAAGGGGGAATGTCTGAGACAAAGAGAAAGGAGATGTGGAGGGTCTCTAGGGAAAGAGAGGCTCGCTGTTGTAAGCATATTTACCTTAAAATGCAAAGAAGCATTATTCGGTTAAAAAGTCACTTGCTCCCTGGGGGTTTCCATTCATTCATCTTGCTCTTGACAGCTCACCACTCCACCAGCCCAGCTGCTCCTTCTTCCTTCCCCTCTGCCTCTTCCATCTGCCTGCAGACTCTCCTGATACTTGGCAGTGCACAGGCCTCGCAGCAATGCTCACCTGGTTCGATGAACTGATGGAGTGAACCAAAATCTCACTTTTCATTTTGCCTTGTGTTTTCTCTCTTTTCCCCTTCTCTTTCCTCCTCTTTCCTCCTCTTTCCCACTCTCTCTGCTTCGCTCTCTTCTTCCTCGTTGCTTCCTCCCACCCTGCCCTTGCCATGCAGAACGGGTCTCTTCACGCCTGACCTCGCTTTTGAAGCCATAGTGAAAAAGCAGGTGCAGAAGTTGAAGGAGCCGAGTCTGAAGTGTGTGGATATGGTAGTGAGTGAGCTCACATCCACCATCAGAAAGTGTAGCGAAAAGGTAAAGAAACCAAAAAATGCAAAGAAAGGACAATGCCCCCTCCCTCCCACACACTCATGTCTTTCTCACATGCACCACAGGAAACTCGAAGGAACTAGTCAGAGCGGATAGCTACAAAGATGCATCTAAGGGAGAGCAGCAATCTGTTTGCAGTGGAGCAGCTGCAATTAAAAGCAAGCCAGGAAAAGTGGGTGTTAGCTGGCAGGTTCTTTAGTCAAGAAGTGGTCTGGATCCAGTGGGTTGTTCTGCTTCCTGCCCTCTTCTTCTACCCAGCTCAGTAGCTTTCAGCTCAGGGTGGATTAAATCCCATTGCCAGCCCTGACTGCTGTGCCACTGCCTGCTCATCTGGACCCTTTCATTTGCCTTTTGCAGTGGCCCCCTTAGAAATCTGGATGCCCTAGGAAATGGTGAAAGCCAGAGACAGACACGACCTCCCTGCAGCGTGAGCGGTCTGCAGGCTTCTGCTGGGTCTGCAGAACCATGTTGAAAGAGGCAGTATCATGTACAAAGCAGCATCAGCAGAAAGTCTGAGGTGCAAAATGTCCTCCCAAAGGTAGCTAGTGTCAGCAAGTGCTTTAACCCTGCATCTTTCCTGCTGGTCTCGCTCCATTGGTGCGCTCATTGCAGGGAAGTGTGGATGCTTTCCCTTATGCATTGCAAAGCAACAGAGGTGAAGCCTTAGGTTAGCGGTGGGCAGAGAGGGGAGAACTCCCTCAAGCGGGATGGAGGGTGTTAGATGAACACTACTGAGGTTGGGGCAAGAGTGGGTTTGTTTCCCAGGCCAGTTTCCTCCAGGAGAGGGCACCACCTGCCTCCTGAAAATAAAGGACATGTGGCAATTATTTAGTGTTAAATTTACCAGTGAGGGACCAGGAATCTGTCCGTGGCAAAACAGCAGTGGGTTCTTCTGGGAGCTGAGAGGGAAAGGGCTGTTCTGCTATGTGTGTTAAGACTCGAGATGAAATCCCCTTGTGCAGGGTTGGACCTGGGTTCACTGACATGCTTCCAAATTGGGAAGGAAGAAAAGATCAAAACTGATTTGAGTTCAGGGTGAAGGCGAGAGCTGAGGTAATGAGGTCTAGTTGTACTTAAGAATGCAGAGCTCATCTCCTGCCCCTCTCAGAGGCATTTCTGACAAGCCCTGAGGTCTTCCCAGTCCTTTTCTTGCCATGTCCTGCTGTTGCCAGATCATTGTGGCAATGCAGAGTAACTCCTCTCCAGACTGCTTCTCTTGTGTGATTTCAATGTCAGTGGCTTTTTTGTTAACACTGTTTTTTTGCATCTGGCTGGAGATGTTTGCTCTGGGTGGGGAGAGCTGGGATGGGAGAATAATCATGAAAACCCCAAGGGTGTTGAATTTCAAGTGCTTTATTGGGCCACAGTATTAGAGGTGCTAGTGGGGATACTTCAGGGTGAATCAAGCAAGATGTTCTACAAGGAAACTGATAGTAGCAGTGATCCTTTTTAGGAGGTTAGTGGCTGTAATAAAGCCTGAGAGGCCAAGGAGGCAGGGGTTAAATACAAATGAGAAATAAATACCCGAATGAAGCCAACCAGCAACAGTATTGGAAAATAAAGGGGAGGCTTCAGCAAAGCTTGAAGTTAAAAGTCTACATGTGTTGAGAGAAGGTTCGTCCTGCCATTGTCTCGTGAGGGAAAGGAAAAGGGCAGGAGGTATCTCAAAGAGCTTGAATGGCATAAAGCAAAGGGGACGAGCTGTGTAGGGGCATTCGCTGGTACGTGGTACTTGCTACTTTGCATGTCCCAGCCTTACTGCCTTGTGTGTAGTTGTGCGCGCTCACAATTACTTCACCCAGTTGGTGAAGGGATCTTTGTACGTGCAGTCGGTAAAGCTGCATTGGATGGGAGAGTGAGGGCTTATGAATAAAGATCATACAGGAGTCAAATCCAACTGTTCTCAAGTGCTGCAAAAGTGGAGCTTCCCTCTGTGCAGAGGTTTGCAGTTCACTGTCTCTTGGCTTTCAGACAAAGTTGAAGGCTAATGAGGAGAGAGCCATTAACAGCTCTTTTGCCTGGCCTGATGCTGAACTTTGAGTTGGTTAAATGAAGAATAGTTTTGAAATAGAGATGGCATAAGCATGCAGACCCTTGCATTGAGGAGGATAGTGCTCTAGCTAGTGAAAAGCAGGAACCTTCTGTGCCAGACTGCTCTGCAGCCTCTCACCGGTGCAGAAAGGTCTCAACTCCACATTGCTTCCACTAGAGGTAGAGATCTTCCCTGTGCTTGCAGGGACTCCTGGAATTTGCAAGAAGGGAATCTAAGGAGCATTGGGATGAGTTGCTTTTCAAAGAAGGTCAAGAGCTTCTATTGATTGAACAGGAAAAAGCAGCTGAAACAGGACTGAAACCCCCTTGAGCTGGTGAATGATCCCAGCCGGCAGACTTAGCCTCTTGAAGGGTCACCTGCTCTCCTGTCTCAGAGTCATGGCATTTCTGGGTGCTGTTGGTACTGCTGGTGTTAACTCCCTGCCCCTCTGCACCCTCTTGCATGGTGGGTGGGACGTCTTGTGGCTGGTGTCTGTGTCCTTTCCCCTTGCCCTCCCTTGCTTCTACGCATGCTTGGGGTTGGAAGCTCCTGCACGGGGGTTGATGCTGTCTGTTTATTTTGTGCATAACTTGCTGGATGTCCTGGGTTCTCAATAAACTGCAACTCATTTTGCACCTTTTGCATTTGGGTTGTGTGGTGGGGGGGTGGGCAGGTAGGGGTGGTATATGTATTTTTATTTATTTATCTGAAGCAAAGAAGCTGAGACTTGCTTAGAGGTTTTCCGACTTCCTGTTTGTGTCTGTTCGAGAACTTGTGCATCTATCCTTTGCCAACCCCAAAGGAAACAGGAAGCTTTGCCTGTGTGTCTCTGAAGCAACCAGCTGCCTGAACCATAAAGATCATGGAGAACACCCCGTTTGCCCTTTCCAGACAAAGGTGGTGCGAGCGCCAATTTCCACTTTTTTTTCCCAGTCTCTCTTGGGTCCCTGGCATTCAGACAGACATCGCATTTGAAAATAAGCAGTATAAAAGTTAGCTCTCAGCTTCAGTTTCAGGTTACTGCAACTCCCCAGGTTTTTAGGATTATTCGGAGGGTCTGAGCATGTTTGTAGTCAGAAGTTAGGAAAATGATTGTTCGAGTTAGTGTAAGACCTGGCTTCCAATGGTGATGCTGCACACCTTTGGCCAGTTCCTTCTAGTGTGTTGTAATTACTTCTGTATATGGAACAAGAGGCCAGATGAGTAAAAGAAGCAGCTCAAGTAAATTGGACAAACGAAACTCATGTGACACAGATCCAGAGGCAAATAAGATTTTTGAATATAGCCTATGAGGGAGTGTAGTGGAATGATACTGGGAAATGGTGTTTGACACTGTAGTCAAGCTGAAGGTGATAAGGAGCAATGAAGAAAATGATTTCACAGAGGATAGAAAAAGAGGCAGGAAAAAAGATTAGAGCCTGGTGCTAGAAGATTAATTTTTATTTTTTATAGATTAATTTCCATAGTCCAGGTGTGGCCTGGGAAAGCTTTCAGGCGCTGCCACTGGAACTGCTGGAGATTTATGAACTAAATTGCATCCTCACTAGGTTCTAGTAGGGTGTCGTGATGCCCTGTTGTACGCAGTAGAGAGGGGTTCACTTGGTTATGCTGCTTGGTAGGAGTAGTTTCCCAAAGGAAGGGCCTAGTTAGTATAATCGTTAAGGCCTTCAGAAGGTACCGCACCAGTCATGGCAGAGCTGCATGTACTTAAATGAGAAATGATCCTGCCTCAGAAGCCCTTGGGCTTCCATTAAATAACTTTTTTTTTTTCTTCCCCCCAGTCATCTCTTAGCTGAGATCTGGCAATGAAGCCTGGTCCTATTGCAGGCAATGGCCAAAGTCCTTCAGATCTTATCCAGATCAAATGTCCTTGTTATGCTACTGCTCCAAGGCAGGTGGTGTGTGAATGCCAGAGGGCTTTAAGGGTGCTCAATGGGGAAGAGGTTTCTCTTGTGCGATCTCTATGGATGTTTTCTTTAGAACCCCAGGCAACGATGTCCTCCTACTTCCTCAGTGTGCTCAGGAATGAATCTTCCCTGTACCCCCTTCGCCCCATAACGTGGGAATAGGTGGGGTGTAGGTGCGATGGGCCCCAGCTGTGTGACCCTGCCCCAACACAGGCGGAGAGCAGGTACAACCTGGGTCTGGATGCTGAGAGCACAAGGGCCCTTAGATCTGTCCTTGAGTCGGTCAGAGCCTTCATCCCTGCTCAGGTGTATTTAACAAGGAGGCTTGGATGCTTCACCATAGTGCCCTCAGCAAGGGAGGGGTAAAATCCCCTTCTCCTCCCAGGGAGACTTCCTATGGGATTCAGCAGGCCGTAGGATTATTCACCTACTTGGCCAGTGAGACAGTGAGCCATTAGAGAAATGGTTAATATTAGTGTGGCAAAGTCCAATGATTAAGCAGTGTGTTAACATGTGGGGTTTGATACAAACCCCGTGCTAGGAAGAACGTGGTGGGTTGGGTTGTTGTAAGAATGGCAAGAGCTTTTCTCTAAAGCTCAGAACAGAAGGCAATGAGAGCTTTGCCCCAACAGACCCCAAGGAATTTGGAAAATCTGTCTGCAAGTCCAGCTTTCCAGAACTTTCCCTTTAAAATGCCTGATTGCAGGGTATATGTGTGCATGCACGCGGGGGACTGCTCCCCCTTTACGCCTCCCTTTCCCATGTGCACGTTGCTCTCTCTCCTGCAGCTCAGCCAGTACCCGCATCTGCGCGAGGAGATGGAGAGGATCGTAACTACCCACATCCGAGAGAGAGAGGGCAGGACCAAGGATCAGGTAGGGGCTCAGGAGCATGTGTGAGATGGGGAAGGTGGGGAGGGAGCAGCCTTTGAAGGGACCCTCTGGGCTAGAGGGGCCTCTCCAGGTTTGGATTTGGAGCTGAGCTCTGAGGCTGAGGCCTCTGGCAGATGAGAGGAATGATTGCAGGGCTCTGTCCACCCCGGACTGTTCGCAGTGTCAGTCACTGTTTTATCTGGTGTCTGTGTCTCTGTTCGGCAGGTCATGCTTCTAATTGACATTGAGTTGGCTTACATGAACACAAACCACGAGGACTTCATTGGATTTGCTAAGTAAGTACTGACTTTCTATTGCCTCCTCTCCTCTGTCTTCCCAGTCCTTTAGCTGCTCCAGTAAATGGGTTGCAGAGGCCCTGGTGCAAATACTGTGGTCCCAACATATGCTTTGGTTTCAGTATTGCTTCTGTCTTCAGTGGGTTCATATTGCAAAGCTGCTTAGATCACTTACTTGCTGGTGGGTAACAGAGAGGGATGCTTAGAAGGCATAGGTGTAGGGGGGAAAGGTAGAATCTGTGGAGGGCTAGTGGCCCAAGTGTGGTTTTAAATGGGAGTGAGAAAATTCAGGTTGAGAAGAACAGATGGAGATAGATAGGTTTATCAGGGCTTGGAAGCCAGTGATGAGGGGCATGAACTCTGTGTAGCAGCTCTCTGGTGATCTGAAGGGGAGTCTGAGGAGTTTTGAACATCTTTTTTGAGAGTGAGAAAATTCAGGTTGAGAAGAACAGATGGAGATAGATAGGTTTATCAGGGCTTGGAAGCCAGTGATGAGGGGCATGAACTCTGTGTAGCAGCTCTCTGGTGATCTGAAGGGGAGTCTGAGGAGTTTTGAACATCTCTGCTGTTGTTTGTTTGCAGTGCTCAGCAGAGGAGCAGCCAGATGAGCAAGAAGAAGGCAGCTGGCAACCAGGTAGGCCAAGTTTCATCTCATTCAGTGCTGCAAGCAGGAGGGGTGTATTTGGTACCTGGAAGCTACCAGGTGGACAAGTGCTGGGCTGGATGCACCAGCGCTCTAATTTTTAACCCAGCCTCTTTATACATGGAGGATAGCATTTGGGGCTTCCTGTGGTCAGGAAGAGCTGAGCACGTAGGGGCAACAAGGGGGAGATGTTGCAGAGGGAAATGGACTCTGGAGCATTAAGTCCTAGTCTTCCAGGGCTGCTCTACTGGCGTGCTCAGAAGGTGAACAGCATCTCATGTAAGCTCACTGCTCTTGTCTGGCTAATGGTAGACATATATAATAATGTCACTTACATCCCTAGGTCCTCTCTCCCCCTCTCCAGCTGTGCCAACCCTTCTGCTGAGGTGAGGGGTAGAGATTATTTGGGGTATTGTAGATGGAGACTCAAATTCATAAGCTGATTTGCAAATGGGTTAAGCTTCCTCTGCAGCCCCCCACTGCCAGGGCTGAACTGCTGTAACAGACTTGTCTTTTTTTTGTTGATGATATCTACTTTCTGGAAGGGGATTTGCAGAGAGGTCATGGGCTTTCTTCTGGAAAGCCTCACTGGAAAGACTTAAACCCCTGCAAGGTAGAGGCAGAGAGTGCTCTGCAGCCAAGGCTGCACTGGCTGTGTAACAACATGCACTTGGCAGAAGAGAGCAGGGGAGAGGAGGAGTTCCTCCTTCCTGTAGGAATTGTAAGGAGCCCTTATGCAATTAAAAACATAAGGGGCTAATGAAACACCTCTCCTAGACTTTTAGGGGAAATGGCAAGGTTATTTGGGCCATAAGATCCTGTGGAAACAAGGCCTTTACCGAGCAGCTTGGTAAAGAATGGAAGCAAATGCTTTATTCTTCTTTTGAAGACCTTCTCCTCTAAAATACCTAGTCTTAGAATATATTTGACAACCTTGGGCACGTGGTTTCAGTGCTGCTGACAGGCAGAGGCTAACAAGCTTGGCTGTTAACTATATCTGCTTCATGGGATCTTGGAGCAGCTGCAGGGATCCCCATCCTCTGCAGTATGTTTATTGAAGAGCTGAGTGGTGTGAAATAACTTAAAGACAAGCTCTGGATCTACCTGTAAAATGCTTGTGCTTTTCCCTCTAGCAGACTTTATTTTGGGATTTTTTTAAAGTACCTGGGGTAAAAGATTTGGTACAGTTCCATTTTATTTTTGAGCCTCTTCTCCTGCTCCAGCTTTCCTAGTAACAATCTCTCCTCTCTTTGCTCCTCTCCTGCTCTCTGCTCTGCTGCTGTTGCTATGGTTCCCCTTTGCAGGATGAGATCCTGGTGAGTAGAAGGCCACTCAGCAGGGTGTGCTAATGAACATTAATGTTGCATCTGGGAAGACAAGAACAGTGCATAGACAAACTATTCCCTCTGCTGCTGAACAGGGAGAGGAAAAGAGCAGGTGAAGCAGAAATGAGGTGCAAAGGTAGCATGTTACAGAAAATTTCAGAGCTGCTGGTAGATGGTGTGAGTGGGTGGAGATGAAAAGCAGCAGTGTAGGGACCCGAGGTTCTGTTTCACTGCCCCCTCCTGTCCGCAAAGAGAATAGGTCCGTCTTGAATTGAACAGTGAGTATGAGGTGAAGATCCAGTGTTCCTACATTTGCCTTTGTAGGATAAATTTGCTATCAAAAGGATTATGTACCCCCATTGTAAGCTACTCACTGTTTGCAGTGCAGTTACATGGCTTTTCAGTGCTAGCTTGTTTCAAACAAGCACAGCCATTCTACAGTCTACTCACATGTACAAGCATATGTGTGTATATATATATATGGGTGTTATCAGTGCAGTAATAAGCATAAAAAGGCTGCTGCGTTTAAGCTGATTCATACCTGTATTTGATTCCTGCACATATGAGTCTCTAAAATACCAGCATGGTTGAGTTGGAGTGCCCTAGAGAGTAATAGCCTGGCTTATCTGCAAACCGAAAGTGTAGGAACTTCTATTGCCCTAAACTAGTGGGAATGTTCAAACACTGAAGTCCAAGGTACTGATTCCAGATGCACCATTTTGTTCCTTTGTACTTAATGTCTCCTTGTTACTAAACTAAACCTTTTCTGATCTGCTCACCTGTATCCTCCTCTTGAACTGGTCCCCACGCTGCCCACCCCTGGGCTGGGCGAAGCACTCCCTGTGTGCAGCATGCCTGAAGGCTCGCTGCTGCCTTGGTTTTCTCTAGGCATGGCCTTCTCTGGGTGTTTTGCAGTGACCTGGTGCTTGTAGGTTGTACCTGAGGTGCTCTCTGATGCAGTTCTTCCTGCATCTCTCTCTCTCTCTTGGCAGAGGGTATAATGCATAGCACAGCAACGTGGCTTCCTGCCTCCTTTTTATATACTATTTTTGGCCCTTTTGAGCCCTAGGCCGCTTGAGTTGGTGGGCTCTTTTGGCAGCAGCAGAGAGCATGGTGTTCCTTGTCTTTCTATGCTGTTTTGTGTGTAGGGATACCCTGCTCTTTCCCCTGTCACCTAAGACTGGACGTTTAGGACTATTCTTAATGCTTGCTGCTTGTGTCCCCATAGGTGATCCGCAAGGGCTGGCTCACAATCAACAACATCGGGATCATGAAGGGAGGCTCCAAGGAGTATTGGTTTGTCCTGACAGCAGAGAACCTCTCCTGGTATAAGGATGATGAGGTGAGTAGCTCAGCTGTGTGACTTGAGTCTTGGGAACTGAGTATCTGATGAGGATTAGGCCTTCAGTTCTCTGGGTGTTATATGTGAGTACTGAGTGTCTCCTTTATGCAGCTTGTGACATAATCTGAAATGATCCTTGGGCCTGGTTCCCTGCGGTCTCGCCACTGCTGAACAGTTCTTTATTGATCTGAATGTGGCTTTCTTGACACACAAGGAGAAACTCATTTGCTAACATCTGTTCTTGAAGCCCTAGCTCAGCAGAAAGTTGACAGACACTTGGAATGAATTTGACCTTCTGGCTTGCTGTGGCAGCTGTGTTCAAGGGAGCGATGAGCTAGCTCTGAGATCTGGGCTTCTTGGTATTTCTGGAGTAGCCATGCTGAAGGCTTTGAAGGAGTGTGGCAGAATTTTTGGTGCATCTTTGTTGTGAGGGGGGAAAAAAGTGATCTTTCTAAGCACAGCAGCAGGAGCTGTGGATGCTGTATTAGTTATTTAACATCCTCAGGATTCAGTTGCCACAGATGGAAAGCAAGAATATCTCTTTTTAACATTTGCATATTGAATAGTCAGTTAGCTCATATTTGTAAAATTCTTTGAGTTACGAACGGTCAGAGTATTATGTGTTAAAAGTACAATGATGTGTGGCAAAATCACCAATAATAACATGAACCTGCTCTGCAGAGTTGCTTAGAAATACTGTGCATTAGAAATCCTGTGCTGTACTGTTTCTGCTTCAGTAGGGAATGAGATGCAAACTGCCAGGACTGTGTCCCAGCTGAAATTGTCATTGTCAGCTGTCAACAGTGTGTGCTTCCTGTTCATGGTAAAGGTAGACAGCTTTCCTGGGGCTTAGTTCACACAGAGCAAAGCAGAGCAGGATGGTTTGGGTAAGACATACGAAAGGCTCAGCCTCACGCAGTATGCTGGAGGGTGTGAAGCGTGTCGTACACTGTAGTCCATACATTGAGCCGATGTATTATGCCAGATAAAGAAACTGTTCTTGTCCCTTACTGTGCACTTTGTTGGGTTTTTTGGCTGAGTTTTGCTGATTTCAGGAGTTCTGTCCACTTTGTGGAAATGATGACAAAGATGGTGATGAGTCACCCTCAAAATATCACTTTCTGCATGGAGACAGCTGTAGTGCTGCAATGGCTGAGCAGGCAGCAACCTCGTAATTAAAGCACCAGGCACTGAAATAGCTTTTGCTGTATCAGTGTGTCTCTGCTTTAAGACCTGAGCATTGGGAGCTGCTTGGGGACGCTTTGCTTTCCTCCAGGTTACGTTATGCGGGTTGGGTGGTTATAAACACGGAGTAGTTTAAATCAAAGCCAGCTGCTACATCTGTGTTGCAGAGATGATGAGAGCTGCCCGTTCCTCCCCGGGGGAGTGGGAGGGCTGCAGCGGGGCTGCGTAAGCTCCTGGTAGATTCCCGTTGATGGGGGGTGAGGGGTGGATGTCCCTTCCCTCCCGAGGGAGGGCAGCTTTTGGGGTGAGCAGCAGCTGGGGGTCTTACACCATTCGCCCTCTGCGTAGCGAGAGGTAGAGCTGCCTAATTAAAGCAGAGCCCTGCCAGCCGGCAGCGCTCAAACACAGGAGCGCCAGCGCTGCCGCGGCTTGGGCCGCCTCGGAGAAAGGGGCCTTTGTTCCTCACGGGGTGGGAGCAGAGGGGAAAGGGGAGCGTGTTTGTGTTTCTTGCTTCCCCTCCTTCCCCCACCCCAAGTTCAGCTTCGCGGCCTGTGGCCGCTGCGGGGACGGGAGGAAGCGGCTTCTCCCTGGGCTCCATGGCTGAGACTTGGGGCTACAAGTTGGGGCGTTTGAGGGCCTGTGTGGAGAGCCGTGAGTGCAGGGGATCCCCACATATAACCTTGGTCCCACAGGAGTCCATCCTGCTTCTCCCCTTCCCAGGTCAGATGGAGGCCTGGCATCCTCTGAAGCTCCCGCGATCCTCTCATGTGTATTTTTAAGGACTCTCTGCCATGATCTTTTTTCACTTAACCTCCGGTCAGACAGAACTGCCCCCCTCCTTCCCAGCCCGACGCCTGTGGTCTCTGCTGCCCCGGTCCCCTGCGCGCTGGCAGCTGCCCGGAGGACACGAGAGCAGCGAGTGCCCCCCACGCGGGGGACCCGCCGGCCGGAGCGGGGTGAAGGCCGGGCTAGCCCCGCCGGCGGGCGAGGGGAGCGCGCGGCGCGCCGGCCCTCCCTGCCCCGTGTCGTGAGGCCGCAGTCTGAGCGCCGCAGACATCTGGAGCCCATTAGCCAAATACCAGCCTTTCCGCAGGGCTCGCTTGTTTTTCCTCCCCTCTGAAGAAATGAACTGAAACTTAAAATGCCTTAAAGGGGCCCAGCGTCGCCTGCTAGCAAGGATGTGGCTACGGCTGCTCTGGAGCAGCCTGAAGGAGTGTGTTGGAAGCGGGGGAGCTGGCTCCCTGCTTGGCCTGGCTGCCAAGAGCTTTTTTTCCCCCATATGTGTGCGCGTTTGGGTTCTGTTTTTCTTCCTGTCTCCTTTCAATGAGTCAAACGCTGGCCCCATGGAGGACGGCCCCACGTAGCGCTGGCCGCCCAAGACCCCAGACCCTTGGGAGATGCCCGGCCGCCCGTGCGTGGGGAGGAGCCTGCTCCGGTGTCTACTGCTGGGATGAGCCCTGTCCCCTCGCTGGGGAGGCCACCACGTCCCCAGGGCCGGAGCTGCAGTGCAGGGACTGGCCCCTCGGCAAGCACCGCTGTGGACACCATGCAGGAACTGCCTGAGCCTGGTCCTTTCCCTTGGGCAAGCCCCAGGAACCCAGCAGGAA